GTGGTAGCAGTCTCTCCTCCGTGCTGGTCTGTTTGCTGCTGGGTGTTTTTGGTTTATTTAAACTTGGTAACTTGAACTTAATGTTGGTAAAGCTACTGTTAGCATCTTCGCTAACAGCTTCTTGCGTTGGGATAAGCTGTTACGTTTTGGTTTAGAGTTCATCTTTTTTGTGGTGTAGATCTCCCTTTTATTACATTTAGAGTGTTGTGGGTTTTCGGTTTAGTGTAAAATATCACCTGAGTTTGGTTTAACCCGTAAGACCACTCGCCTCACGCACATAAGTGACCAAAACAAAGCAGCATGGAGACACTCAATCTTCTACCACCTCTCAGGCAGCAGCCTGCACTCCCAAGTTCTACACGTCACCAGAACATAACCAACCGCAACACAATAAAAGCAGTGTTATACAGAATGGAAGGCCTGTAGTGTTTATTCTCTTACAGTAAGAATTTATCTTTTTTTTTGAGGAATTTATTTGAGATTTTCTGGTTTTTGTTAATTGTGCAATAGAAAAATAATCATTAGATTAATTTTCTAAATAGTCATTAGAATAGTCGACTATTCGATAGAATAATCGTCAGAATAATCGTTTTAAAAATAATCGTTTACCCCCAGCCCTAACGTCTGGACTATGCCAATTCTCTTTTATATGGTATTCCTTCCTCTTCAGTGGTACGCCTCCAATTGGTACAGAATGCTGCTGCGAGGTTTCTTACGGGCATAGACCGACGGCAGCATATCACCCCTGTTTTGGCAACTTTACACTGGCTTCCAGTTTGGTTTCGAATTAAGTTCAAAATTCTCCTGTTGGTTCACAAATCTATTCATGAAATCCCCCCCCCCCCCCCCCCCCCCCCCCCCCCTTATTAGGCACATCTTTTGAGTGTCTATGTTCCGGCGCGAACCCTGAGGTCCTCTGACCAGCACCTTCTGCTTGTCCCTCCTGCCCTCTATATGGCCCGTGGCGAACAGGCTTTTTCAGTTTGAGTGTCTAAACTTTGGAACCAACTCCCCCTGACGGTCCGACTTGCCCCCTCCCTTACCACTTTTAAAGTACGTTTGAACATATTTGTATTCCCTGGCCTTCCCAGCTGAGATTGTTTAACCCTTGTGCTTTCCTGTTTTTTTTTTTTTTTTTTTTTTTGTTATTATAGTTTTTATTTGTTTAATCTAGTTTATGTTGCTATATCTAGTTTGGTGATGTATTGTCGTGTACAGCACTTTGGTTGGCGTTGTCGCCGTTTAAATGTGCTTTATAAATAAAGGTTGATGGTGATGAACCCTGTTGTCAGGTTTTGTTTTTCTTAGAACAAGTCGAACTTGTTTTTGCATGTCCAAACAGCAAAACCAGATTATCTTATCCTTATGAATATAGTAACAATACATTTTACAGTTTGTACTTAAGTCTGACAGCAAAAGAGATTAAGAATAGTCAGTCCCATTACAACACCCACTTGAAGAGTTTTCCTGACCAACTGGTTGAACTAAAAAGTGTGACAGGGCAGGTCTGCAGACACTCCACATTTTTGTGAAGCCAGTGAAATGACCTGTATAATATCAAATAAATTATAATGTTTTCCCCTTGATAATCTTGTTTGATTAATATGTAAAAATACAAAAAAAAAAAAAAAACACCATCAGAAAATCACATGAACTGACATGAAAGCAGGAATAAGAGTGCTCAGCAGTGTGTGAGGGTTAAGGACCTCATGATCCACCCTTGTGTTGTTTTTCTAAAAAGCTCTCCAGTGTTGTCGGATGATATGATTATTCTGCTTCAGCTTTGGTCTCACTACCCGAGGAGCCTAGTTGTGATTTTTATTTCCTCGTCCCTCCAGTCTGCTCTTTGGGTGAGGTGTGGTTGTGTAACCTATTTTTGAGTCTAGATGAAACGGTAACAATCTCAACTGAGTTTCCTGTGTTCTAAAACTGTGTACTTGTGCATATACAGAATTAAAAATAAACAGTTTTATTCAGAAGTAGCTTATGTTTTACAGTGCATGCACACACACAGCATCTCCCTTTAGATTTCATATGAAGAAAAAAAATGCCTTAGGGCGTTTTGGAAAGATCATTTAATCATTTCATCCGTGAAACAGTTTAGCTAACACATCAATGTTTTGAGAGCTGCAGCCCACTCAGCGAGAGATTGTGTGTTTTCAAGTGTCTCTGCTCTTGTTTGTGTGTGCTGCATTTCCATTCTACCGCTCAGGGGTCGTGTCCAGGGAGTGGCCTGGGGTAGCACATGCCACCCTTGGAATCTGACTGGCCACCCCAGGTGCCACCACACTAATTTACCTTTAAATAGGCTTTTCATTGTCTACAAAAGGCTTGGGGGTAAAACAAAAAAAGCATAACCATTGGTGCCACCCATGCACAAAGTTGTGCCACGCCTGGGCCACCCCATTTTAAAAGATCTGGACACGCCTCTGCTACCGCTGTACACTACAGGTGTGGTGCTCAGATCGAAGTCTTGTTTAGATTCTTCAAATTCCCTTTGTGTGTGTGTGTGTGTGTGTGTGTGTGTGTGTGTGTGTGTGTGTGTGTGTGTGTGTGTATGTAGTCATGGGTCTATTATTAGGAAGCCTTATTGTTCTGTTTTTCTGGAGTTTTTTCAACTGTGTCATTTAGTAGACGGCTTTCACTTTGTGGCCCTTCAGCTCTCATGGACCATCCACTTTCACAGCGTTCAGAATGTAATGGTGCATGACTCTATAAAGTTTGTTTCTCTCTCAGAACAGTGTTTCTTCAAATTATATAAGAATAGCAGCACCATTTTTATTTTTTCAAGTGTTTTGAAATTTAAGAGTTTTCATCTATTTTAAGTTAGTGTGATTTTGTGTAAAAGTTATAAATAATCACTGATAAATTAACGACACCAATACCAAAGGCTATAGGGAGCCTAAGTCTTCTCCCTTTCTGCTCGGCTCATGGGTCCCCGGAAGAACGAAAAAATGAATGCAAGTCAACGGGGCTAAAAGAGCTATTTTCTAATCCGCTTGGCCTTAGACCCTGGATCGCACATACTGTATGTTGTACTGCAATTTAAATGAAAACTAATGATGGGTTTTTCGACCACGCCAGTCACGTACTTTGAGATTTTTCAGCTTGTAAAAGTTCATAATTAGCATGACTACCAATTAGACATCGGCACGTCGCATATATGACGTCACCACAGAACCTCTTGTCCTCTAGCGTAGCTGCTACTTACCAAATGGCCAGGTTTATGGTGGTTTTTTTCCTTCTGAAGGAAGGATTTTAAGTTTGCTAAACTTAAAACCGATAAATAAAACCGGGCCGATCTTAACAACCGATATTTTTTTTCCATCTTGTCTCCATTTGTTTGCCTGTTTCAGAGGGTGAGGGGGATTATGTGCATTTGTTTAGTCATGTGACAGTGATTGTGATCATCTCAGAAGCATAAATGTGTGAGGTGTGTGTACACAATAACGTAAATTCAGATTTAATAATGTTCATTCTATAAAAAAATCTGCTGATTTTAGAAGCATTAGCGTCAGTACATCGTTGTTGGCAAATATCGGTTATCGACCATAACTGTGATATTAATATCGATATTGGCCCAAAAATTTCATATCGGTGCATCACTAGTTGTACTAGCTGTTAGCGTATCAGTCCTTAACAACAAACTCTCTGAATGGAAGCTGTTTTCTGTGAATACGACTGTTTTATCATTTTAGTCCTTGACTTTTGATGTTCACAGTGTCAAGTCCGCAGACCTTTTCAAAAACCAAAAAATAAAAAAAACAATGTGGTATATTTACAGTAAATGTGGTCCTCTTGAAATGTGTTCTTGCTTATGAACTAAAGGCTCAAAATGATGAGAACTGAATATTTTCTGAACTTTCTAGTTATTTCCTTGTTGAACTTTCCCAGTGACAGTGCATTTTGCAAAAGGTCAGCCATGGAAGGCACGTACTCCGACCGAGCTGTAATTAGAGGAAGTTAAGTGGAAAGATTCCTCTTCTTCATACTCAGATTCTTACTTTATGTGGTTGTTTGTTACTTCAACTGCACTCTCCAAGTTTGCGCGCGACCTGAGCTTTTCTGAACTGTACCAGTGTTTCACGAGGAAGCTTGAAATTTTTTTTCAAAGAATCCCACAGGGGCAAAACTACAGTCTGATTAAATCTGAATGGAACACTATCAAACACTGATGCAGGAGAAGACGTCAGCCTAACATCAAACATCCCTCGAATGAAAGCTTTGAGTTGTGTAAATACAGGAACTGAAGCTGGTTTAAATGAAAACAAACAAGTGTTTCCCCTTCCTTCGGTTCAGCCTTGATTTAGTGCTTAACCTGGCTTACTGGTGCAGATGTCCGCTGTCCTGCAAACAGCTGACCCAATGCTAACATTACTTTAATACACATATTTAAACATCTAATAAAAACACACTTTTAGAAGAAGAAATAACAGTTCTGCGCCTGAGAGCAGTGGACTCAGTGGTCTTCTTTAAAAAGCAGCTGAAAACTCAGCTGTTCAAGCTGGCTTTTGACCTTCTTCACCACTCTCCTTATTCTGCTCTCCCTACCGATTCCACCTTCTTCAGGATCCACGGATTTCCCTCTCTCCCATTCACACTCTCTCTCTTCTTTACATTTTTGAATCACAATTGTCTATTTTTACTAATTTTAAACATATTTGTAATATTTTTCTAAATTGTTTTTTTATATTTCAACTTTTTTGTTTTTGTGAAGCGCCTCGCGATTTTCATCTTGAGAGGCACCATAGAAAAGATCTTTTCTTCTTCTTCTTCTTCTTGATATAGCACGTCTCAACTTAAAAATCACAAGGCGCTTCAAAAGAACATTCATGCATTGCTCATGGTTAAAAATTCGGAAAGATTCTAAGCACATGCATGTAAATAATCATTCAAGTACCAGCAGAACAGGAGGGCGTTTGTGTTTTCCTTTCAACAATGCCACAGGTATGCAGTCACTATGTGATTTGTAAAACTCCACCCTGTGCATTATCTGACAGGCAGCAACGCAGGAGAGACGAGGTTTGCAGCAACAGTCTGACAACGACTGCTGGCATGATCACATTGGATTAATTTGGACAGGCATGTCTTGGCTTAAAGGGGCAGGGTTACTCCTGCCCTGCAGCCAGACAACACGCACAAAATGGCGACGGCACCATCTTTCGTAAGTGCTTTTTGTATATGGATTGGTGAAGGGCTGTATCCATTTGGTGTTCCTCTTTCTGGGCCTTTTTTCACTAATCTTCCTTCTTTTTTTTCTGTCAGTGAAAATGTTTCACAAAGAGTTTACTTAAACTGAGTTTTGTATTTTTCCTCTTTACTTTTAGCCCTCTTGAAGTTCTTTTTTCATCTGAAAACAATTCCCCAACACCCCAAATGATCCCTGAACTGTTAGTGGAGTGTTTGAGGCTCCTAAGCACACAGTGTCAACATAAACGGCAACACATGAAAACTGCGTCGCCTCAGCGTGTTTCCAGTAGTAAAATGTGACAAAAATCCGGGAGAATGATCATAAGATTTGTTTGAGGCAAATAAAAACATATGCTACACTGCCTGTCCAAAATAAAAATGGTCACCTGGATAAGTGGCATAAATAAAACTAGTTAAACTAAAAGATTCAACATTTTTATTGTATTAAATTTTGTTATTTTATGATAATTGATTACCGGGGGGTTGAAACATTTTGTTATAAATTTATACTTGATGGAAATGCTAAAGAAGTGTGTTTTGTGGCGTATTTAGCATGTTTTTTTACTTCCTTGCCTTTCATTTGGTTGATTCGTTGCACTTGGGTTTTGGGTTGATGCTTGTGGAGGTCATCATTCAGGTATAAACCGGACTGGTTCTGTAACATCCAACACTAAACATTTTGTTTTTTACTGTGTTTTTCTCATTAAACTCACATGGTGTGGATTTCACATGTTTTGGCAGAGAAACCTTTCTGACAGTAGTGCAGCACGGGCCACCTGCGGTGGTTTCTAACTAGCTCAACCACATTCCTGCACCATCACACAAAGGCCTGTTTTACATATATTTCTGTGATTAAATCAGCATTTGCAGAGACTGGAAGGTTAACTCCTTGTAAAGTTGTCACAACTTCTCATGAAAACAACTATATCCAGTCCTTCACTTGTTTTATGTCCTCTGGTGGTGGATCTACATGTGGAAAACACAATTTTTCTATTTTTATTAATGTGTTGTCACACAACTACAAAATAAAATAAAATAAAACATTCATCAGAACGTAGATTTTGCCTTCAGTCATTCACTTATTGAGTAATGTTCTATCTTTTAATTAGGGATTGTGAGTGATTTGAAAATTAATGCCCCTTTCACACTAGCATCGGCTCTGTGGGGTCTGGATACCATAGAGCAGTGGTCGGCAAATGGCGGCCCGCGGGCCACGTCCGGCCCGTGAGCCCTCTCTTTGTGGCCCCCAAACCCCGTGCGCACCCCCCACCCCCACTCCCAATGGCCGACCGGGAGGTTTAGCTGAGCTGAGGAAAGTAATCAAATAATCAATGCATGAGATGCGGGCATAAACGGTTTTGCATCATAGACGAGTACCAGAATCAATTATAGTGGAATGTAGTTGTGTTATTTCAACAGCGGCACCAGTGCAGCATCCAAATCTGTCAGAGCGGTGTTCTCAACATTTACCGGGTAGGAAACTTTGATCTGCCTTTATGTGGTACTGCAGGGCTGAGCGCTGGAGTTATAATCTGAGAACGAACCTGAATCGAATCAGCCCGACCGGTTCTGTTGGATTTGGGTCGTAAATTATGTTAATTGAGCGGGTTGTCGCGCTCCGCTCACTTGATCAGCGACTGAGACAGAAAGAGCGGGAGATTGTCTGCTCACACAAGAGAGGGGATCGGAGGACGCTCCTCCAAACACGCATTGTTTCTCCTGGATGCGCTCAGTCAGACCGAGTGCTGTGATGTCGGGAGGTCCGGTCTTGGGGAGGGAGCGGGGTGAGTGACGGCGGCTGCAGCGTAAACATCTGTCTCTTTTATTTAGGGACACGGAGAAGATAAAGGAGAGAGAAATAGAAGATCGAAGTTCTTGTTCCACTTTATTCTTTTTTTTTTCATGATGATAAACTGACGTTAAATTCACCTTAAAGAGAAACTGGGAGGAAGCTTTGGTTCATTTTAAGTTACAGGAGATCTTGTCTCCTATCTGGTCCTCCAGAGACAGCACGGGCATCAGGGTCACATGGTGAGGGTCACACAGGACAGGTTAGTGCAGTCACACAGCCGAGCTGGAGGGGGACAGGTGTTGTCCTTCTTTACATTGCAAGCTTGTGTGTTATGTGCATTACAGCCAGCAATCCAAACAGCAGCAGCACACACCCCCACCCCCCACCCACACACACACACACACACATCCTCGAACCATTATAATTGAGGACCCCTGCCATAAAGAGTTTCATAGCCTGCCTTTTTTCAGGGTGCAACCGGACTGTTTTTCAGCCCTCTTCCTGAGGCGGTCTGCATCAGGCTGACCAGGGCCAACACACCCACTGCTGATTGATAAGCCCTGCTCAGTCTGTCATCGTCGTTGTGTCCTTGGGCAAAACACTGAACCCCTCCTTGCCTGCTGGTGGTGGTCAAAGGCACCGGTGGCGCCAGTGCTCAGCAGCATCGCCTCTGTCAGTACGCCCCAGGGCAGCTGTAGCTACATTGTAGCTCATCCTCACCAGTGTGTGAATGGGTGAATGACTGATTGTGTTGTAAAGTGCCTTGGGCGGTTCCAGGACTCTAGAAGGTGCTAAATCAACTACAGGCCATTTACCATTTCATTATTGATTCAGTATCATAACATAAAATATTGCTATTATGTCATTGTGTCAATTTTTCTTACATCCCTACTGGTAATAATTAATGTTAATAAATACAATGTTGAGAGATTTTTCTGTTTTTTGTTTTCTCCTGCTACTTAAAAGTTATTGTATGTTACTCTCATGAGTATTCTTAAAGATTTTCATGTAGCAGCTCATTGGAAACGACGCAGATTTATACTTTTTACGATATGCAAATGTTAGGGTCCCAGTGTAACACATTAAAACACTCAAACATGCAGTCAAACAGAAATCCAGAGTTTTATTTCCACAAACGGTGTAAAAGTTGTAGATTACAGAGGTTGATTTCTGGAATGGCCTCTCTTCAGAGAACTAGTGTTTGCCCACTAGCTTTAAAGCCTTCACATCCATTATCAGTTTTAAATTACTGTTATTTACATAGGACTTTGTGGTTATTTCTAAGCATACATTTTAGCAGTCGCCAGCAGTGGCTCTTCAGGAAGCTTAACACCAAGAGTAATTCATTAAAGGTGTGGTTGACTGAAAAAAATTTTTTTTCTGATTATAATCTCTGAGTATTCATGCAGGCTGATCACAATAATAGTCTCCAACACCTTTCTCCTGCATTAGCTTCTGATAGAAAACAGACAGCGAAAATTTTAAATCCTAACAGATCTACGTCACACTGAATTACATTCATAAACACACCCATCTTGACTCACGACAGGGAAGGCTGTGTTTTGTTTTAACGTCACCAGCAGACGTCTAGTTAAAGCTAGTTTAAGCTAATCATTAGCATTAGCAACATCGCCACATGGCAGAAGTTCCTCCAGGCTTGAGTTATTCGTGGAGATAAAACATCCATGTTGCAAGTCAGTGGTAGAGTTGCATTGCTGTTATCCAGTCCGGGGCAAGATGTCCAGATATCAGGAAATAAGACTCCAGAACCTTCCGTCTGAAGCTCAGCTGTGATGTGGGCAGCTTTTAGGTGAGAGAAATGGTGCACCGGTATATTTTTCCCCCAAGAACAACTTACAAGGCATTCATTCCTACCAATGCAAATGTGTTGATTAAACAAGTAATCCACTTCTTTAACAATTTATTACTTTTACACAAAAGCACACAAGACTGGCAAATATTACCACACCATTGCAGGAATGGCACTACATGACGTATATTATTGACACAAAGCAGGTATCTTCACGGATTGAACTTATCTTTGAGGGTTTTTTGCAACAATTTGCAACTATGTTGAGTTTTTTCCTGTCATAGACGTGCATATACAAGCCCTTGTGCTTGCAGACGCCATTCTGCTGCTCTATTCACAGTGTGTGTCAAGTTACACAAATTAGGAGGAACATGACCTGCCAAAAATACAAAACTTCCCATGCGACGGATACTGATACACCAGTTTTGTGATGCTGTTAGCAAGGTTGAGAATGAGGAGTCAGGAGTGTGTTATTATTCTTCGGGCTAGATCTGTTCAAATGGTTTGGATTTTAGGATTTAATTGTTTGGCTGACTTGCATTTGACTTGAAACTTGACCTGATCTGACTTGACTATTACCAGTATTCAAATATTGTGAAAATTAGCCCAGTAAAACATTCAAAGTGTGTGTGTTTTAACAACTCTTCAAACCGTGTTTTCCCATATGTCAGATAATTATTTTCTTGATTTTATTCTTCTTGTTTTTTTTTCTTCCAGGATGAAAATGCGACGGCACAGAGTGTTCTTGCTGTGCACGGTGGGTCTGTGCGTCATCTCCTTCCTCCACTACTACAAGGCCCTCCACTACGTTTCTTTGCTGCGTGAGCTCTCCGCTCCATACCCCAACATCAAGTCCTTCATCATGGTCTCTGGATTTTTCTGGAGAGAGAAGGGTGTGGCTGCCACCCCACTCAGTCCTGCCTCACCCGAAGAAGCGCCTGTTCGTCAGCTAGACAATAAAAATGGAGGTGGGGTGGGCTCTTTAGGAGGTGGAGCAGGAGGAGTCCTAGACCTGGGAGTGGATAGTGTCAGGGTTGGAGGTCCTGGTATTCCTGGCCATGGGGGAATTGATGAGAGACTAAAAGATCAACCAGAGCCTCCACATCCCTGGGAAAAACCAGAAGAAAGCTTGATAGGAGACCTATCAAATGAGGTAAGATGTCTACATAAATCAGTACATTTACTGCAAGTTCCCAGAACGTTAAACCAGCCCCAACAGTCTTGACTTTCTTGCAAACCCACAGCTGTAACTTAGTATTTATTGATGTGAGTGATTTAGCTGCACCAGTGTTGGAATGTCTGGTTTGTGAGTTTTGACATGTTCCAGAAGATTTTCCAAAGCATATTACTGCTCTGCTCATGAGTTCCTCTTGAAACCTATCAAAATAAATAAAAAACAATAGAAATATTTTACAATCTAGTGTTTTATGCCAAGAGAAATACCTTAAATCACCAAAAATTTGAAAACTAAGAGCTGACTCCTGCCTGAGCAGGGTAAAATTAAGACGCTCAAATGATTAACTCTGTTGATTATTCTGAGAGTTAGTGAAACGTAATGAAAAGCTATGTTGCTGATACAGATTAATTAAGAAAACATGGGATTTAGTAATGTATAATCTAACCAAAACAAAGCTACAGTTACAGTTTCTGAACCTTGGCTTCTCATACTTTTATCCAGTGGATACCATGTATCCAAAACTACATTTGATCCCCTTTAAAAACATCTTTGTTAACTCACAACACGAAGGTCTCTTAGCCTGACATCCTACAAATGTAAATATACAGTCTGGCCACGACCCAGTCGTCGGGCAGAATCTAAACTTTCTCCACATACAGTTGGACAGCACTAACACCAATAAGAGCAACATGATCTATTCATCAATTTGTCAAATAGTCAACAAGCCAGTCCATCATGCACCGTTGAAGAAGAAGCAAATAAAGCCATTTTCTAAATAAAGGACCTACGTACCTCTTTAGGGAGCCTAAGTCACACCCATCTGCTTCCAGACCATGGGTCCCTGGAAGAACGAAAAAATGAATGCAAGTCAATGGGGCTAAAAATGGTATTTTCTAATTCCGCTTGTTGTGTCCCATGGATGTCACATATGATGTCCGTGAATTTTAAATGCACATTTTGTCACCAAGAACGTGCTTATTTTCAATGGGAGGAAATGTTACTTTAGGTTTTGTGTGAAAATAAGTCCAGGACTACACATGTGCATTGCGAAAGTGACGTCATCGAACCAGACACAGAGAAAAACAGAGGGAAAATGGCCGTTAGTTTAGCAAACTTAAAATCCTTCCTTTAGGAGGAAAAATAAAACATCATAAATCTTGCCATTTGGTAAGTAGCAGCTACGCTAGAGGAGAAGAGGTTCTGTGGTGATGTCATATATGCGACATGCCATTATCTAATTTGTAGTCATGCTAATTGCTAACTTTTACAAGGTGATAAATCTCAAAGTATGTGGCTGGCATGGTCGAAACACCCATCATTATGTTTCATTTAATTTGCAGTACAGCATATGTGCGATCCAGGGTCTAAGGCGAAGCGGATTAGAAAATTGTTCTTTTAGCCGCGTTGACTTGCATTAATTTTTTCGTTCTTCCGGGGACCCATGAGCCGACTGGAAAGGGAGGAGACTTAAGCCGGGCGTACACTGTGCGACTTTTTCACTCGTAGCACTCAGCTTCAGCTCAAACTGTACGACTTCCTCGCAGGGCAGATCTCACGAGTCATGTGCTCACACTGTACGACCCAGTTCTCGGATGCGACCTGACTGCTCACACTGTACGTCTGGTAGCAACACGTCGGCCCTAAAAATATGCTAAAAATAGCAGTTTTTACACAACACGTCAGACTTTTTTGTCTTGTTTTGCCTGTTGTCCTTCGGGAGTGCTGCAGGAGGACACACAGGGATTTATGGGGGTTGGATGAGGAAAACGAAATAAAGAAAGTAAATCTGTGTTTTGTGATCAGTTTAATTTGACATGAACACGACAAACACGCTTTCTTGGCAATCTTTGTGAGTAAAAAATACGTGTAGAAACAAAAACGAACAGCGTGTGTTATTAGGGAAATAGCGAGCGGCATTGATGCAGGATTGCGCATGCGCCGTGAGCGGTTCTGATACTTTTTGGGTTGCAGCTGCTCGCAGCGCCGCTTCAACAGTGCGATACCCTCACGAGGGACGAGCAAAATATCAAACACGCCAGAAGTCCGTGCGAGCTCACGACTGCTGATCAGTAGCTGGTCACGTGGTGTTAATCGCCTCTCGTATCCCCCTGTACACTACACGATGCTCGGCGCAAAACTCGCCCCGATCTCGTGGATTCTCGCACGAGTGGAATATCGGCTCACAAAAGTGAAAAAGTCGCACAGTGTATGCCCGGCTTTAGGCTGCCTATCTGCTCATGTCTCAAAGAAAAGCTCAAGCCTGAGTAAACCTAAGCCATTTCAAATGAGCACCATTCTTGAGCTGATGCCATTTTTGAAGTTTTTCTTTGTTGAGACACTAGTGCTAAGCCCGTCCAACAAATGTAGAGCGCTGTAATGGTAAGATGCAAAACTGCTCAGGCCAATGGCAGACATGCCAAGGCTACAATGGAACGTGACTAGACTTACCCGCTATTGCTTGCTATTGTTATGGTCTATCTAGATTTCTAGGCTAGGTCTCTTTCTGAACATAGCCAGTGTAGGTACCCGATGTGGCCGGGCCAATGATGCTAGACTACATGAATGGCTCGACATTGGCATGTTGAAATCATTGCGAACAATTTGCAGAAGTTCTGATGGTACGTAACATACTTGGGTAGCCAGATCTACCCTGGGGTAGAAGTTTTCATGGTTGGAGTTTGTCGTAGGAAACATGGACGAATTTTACAAAGATATACATCATTACTACTACACCACTACACCTTATATAAATAGGATTATACTAACATTAATTAACTCGTGTAAGAAAATCAACTTTAGGGAATTCTTATTAAATTGGGCCTTGTATTTATTTTTTAAAGTCCTGTATGGCAAGTAATAGCAATAGCAAGTATACAACATAAGGACAAATTAAGTTTATAGAATAATTCAACACGTATACATACAAAAACACACAAATTGCCTTTTTGTTGGTAAAGTATGAATTTTCTTGCATGGAATGCAATGTAGTTTGAGTGGTGTTATAGTGTGACCATTGGGAGGCCAGGGCACTGTTGTAAACAACTCACTCCAATAATTTGGGAGCCATTTGTTGAGGCATTCATTACATTTACAGATGTCTGGTATTTCTTGGAGAATTGGTCACGTCTTTGTTTGTTTTTTCCTCAGAGACTAGTTAAAGACCACCATGCTCAACCTGTTGGACCACAACTCCCAGAAGCACGACTAGGAGGCAAAGGTCATCCATCAGACCCTATACAACTGATGGGGGACATTCACACCCACACTCATGAACTTCAAGATGATAAAACATCTTATTTTGTTCGCACAAAGGCTGGAGCCCTTTGCTTCAGACAGGGAACTGAAGTGGCTACCCCAAAGGAATATGCTGTAAAAATTGGAGGGGCTGTAGCTAATGAAGTTGTAGAAGGAGGTCGAGCCGCACAGAGAAAAGCCTTGCAGCTTCGGCAGCAGCCGTCCGTAATGCCAAAGGCCAAAGCAAAAGCCAGGGGCAATGGAAAGCGGCTGGTCAAGTGTGTATGTCGGCCGGGATGGCATGGACCTTACTGTGGGGTTCCCACCATGGTGTACCACTCCAACCTCCCAACCAAGGAGCGACTCACACCAAGAGAGAACCCACGAAGGGTGATCAACGCCATTAACGTCAATCATGAATTTGACCTGTTGCACGTACGCTTTCATGAGCTTGCACAAGCCGTAGATTTGTTCCTTGTGTGTGAATCAAACTTTACAGCCTATGGAGAGAAACGACCCTTAAGGTATGATTTTTACTTATTTGATGGGGGTGGTTGGTAGCTTGAACTAGGATCTTCCTAGTTTGGGTCTTGTTGGAGTATGTGCATTTTTAAATAGCATAGATTGAAAATATCAATCCCCAAATTAAAATTGAACTGGGGCCAATGAGTTAATTTTTATCAGTTGAGCTTCTACACAAGAGAGGCCCACTTTATGCTCTATTTTCATATTAATAAGTTCCAAATGGGACATAATTACCGCTACTGTTACTTTGTATAGTTATTTACAGATTACATCATTTGTTTACAGCTACCTTCATGCCTCTTGAGAATCAGCCTGCTGAATAACAATTACAATCAGGTTCTTTTGGCAACAACATGAAACGCCTTGAAGGCAATTTTACAGGAGATTGTGACGAGCGACGTGATTGACTCTGCGTGCAGCCTTGAAGGGAGAGAGATTGGTGTGTTCAATCATAGGATGTGACACAGCATGAAAGCCACTGCATTCAGTGAAAATCATCTTTTGCTATGCATATCAACAGGTTAATCGAGTTGTTCTTTCACTAAGTGTTTTGTATGATGAGTGGGTTTCTGTGCTGAAAGGTGCCATTTGTCAAACAAGTGCTTTATCTGACATGATTTATTTCTTCACTGCAACATGATGGTTTGTATTTCAAATGTTTGTATGGGTTGAATGGATTTCTTCTGTTTCACTTTCCACAAGGCACTGGTTTTCATTCTGTAAGAGCCAGGGGGAGGGGGCATTTGAAACGTGTTGAGCTTTGTAATCAATCACAGTGATTACCTAGTCTCCATTCACATTATAGGTGCATGGTACTCGTCGTAGCGAGGCTGGTTCCAAAGTGGGCTTCTGCCATCCTAAAACACCTCTAATCTCAAATATCTCATTGTTAGGGTTGGGCATCATATAAAATTGAATTTTTCCAGCTCTGATTACCATTCTTTCTTTCGATTCCCAATTCCGAGGCAGGATCCATAAACAATACATGTTTTAAATGAGCAGCTAACCATAAGTCCTTTTTGATTAAATAATCTGAACTTCAACAAGAATTTTAATTCTATGAACTATAGGGATGTAAAAAAGATCGATTTGGCAATATATCATATTTTTTCCAGTGATATATCGATATTCAAAAGCTGTGTATTGAAAATATCGATATCTGAATATATCATGATTTTTCCCCCCATGTAATATTACATCGATATTCAAAAGCCATGTATCTAAGTTTTGAAAGAATTTTCATGCAAACATTTGTGTATTTTCTTTTCTTTTGGTGCTATTCAAACGCCAACCGATAGTTGGAAGCAGTGTGCAACGAGTTTTGTTTCCACCATTTAAATGTAAATCCCTCCATTATGGTTCAGATGCCTCATGTTAAATATGTTAGGTATCAGTTTGGACTGTTTATTGAGTTTTCCTACAACAAATATCGACTGACTGAATGCATTACAATATATCGTGATATATTGTATCATCTCCCCTGTATGTATCATATCGCCATGATTTCACCAATACACATCCCTAATGAACAATAACATCACCTTAATTTAGACAAAAAAACAGTTTTCAAGAAAGAAAAAAGACTTGGAAGCACAATTTGTTTGTTTCTGACCACAACCAAAGTTTGGGAACTGAACAAGTCTCTAGGATGAGAAGCAAAATGTCTTCAAGATAACCAGAAAAGTCCGGCTGTTTACAAGTAAAACTCTCAAGTTGATTATGTCTAGGATGACTGAGGATCTACACAAACGTGCTGCAGCAGTGATTCAGTCAAAAGAGAAACTCAAAAACCCATCTCAGACCGCCTGGAGTTTGTTCTTTAAAACCTGTATTTAATTCACCGTGTTGACGCATTTTAACAAGCTTGCTCTGCGCGGAGTCGCCAGACACGTTTGTTTACATTTTACCCACTGGGCACTTGGTGTGAGTGAAGGGAAGGGAAAAGACGATGCTGCACTCAGGGTATCTGCAGGCTCAAGTAGGAGCGATAGACAGCTGGTATGATCAGATTTGAAAGGCGTTGAACAGAATTTACAGATCATGTTTTTTTCAAGGGCATCGGCCACAGATTCTTCTTCGGTCGGCGGACTGGGAATCGAAACTAGAGTCGTAATTAAAATATTTGAACAATTCTGGGAAACAGTTTAAAGACAGTTGGTCCAATTTCCAATCAATGCTCGATTCTCGATGCCCAATCCCACTCATTGTGGTTAATGCAAATGCTTATTTGAAAAATAGCCTTTACTCTGCTGAAATGTAAAATGTTTACTGATAAATTATCAATTGTTTATAACTTTTTCAGAAAAATACATTCCACCGTCCTATGAGAAATTGATTTCAATAGTGGATTGTTTGACGAAAAGTCCCTCCCTCCACTTCCAGCCTTGTCCAAAGGCTTGCCTACACCCTCTAGTACATTTGTGTGGCTTCAATGTGCACAAATCATGATATAAAAACAAATATGAGACAGATTTATACTTATCAGTCTGCATCGGTGCGGAGACTCGCAACGCCATTATGCCTTGGCGCAAGGGCTCTCCAATGGGCTCACAGGGGGTGACGGAGACATGTCCAAAATTTTAAACATCCATTGAAAATGACGGGGACCGCAAGTTTATGATTGGTTAGGATGGTGCGTCCTGTATATTCTTCACCAGCACCGCCATTGCCCCATTAAAAAGATTAAAAAGTAAAAAGATATTTAGCAGCAGACCCAGAACAGATTGAAGAACGCATCACGGAAAAAGTCCAAAAATATGTACGTGTGTGTGTGTATATATATATATATATATATATATATATATATATATATATATATATATATATATATATATATATATCATTTAAGACTTTAACACCTTTTCAAGTCTTAAAACACACACACCTGTGACTGGAGGAGTACGAAACACGGACTAAACATGGATGGAAATGACGGGAAACGTGGGTTCAGAGGTGGCGATCGCATGACCAGGTGGAGGGGAATGAAGGACAAATTTAGCCATGGTATAAAGTCTCTGACATATATTAAAAAACATTAGTAAGTACACTATCGTGGACCAGATACATGAGTTATGGTGGCAGGATACCACAGAAAAGAGCTACGCCCTCTGTTGTCATGGCGGGGATTTGTTTTGCAACACTCCACTGCCTGTGCTGGAGTGCGCACCTATAAACCTTTCCGACACTCCGTGTGCGTCTGCTCATGGAGAAGTATAAATCAGGCTTTACAATGTAATCACTGCCCCACCATTTTAATAGCTGTTGGGTTTAAAAAGTGTTGCAGTTTTATCAGTAAAACACCTGTTCAAGTCTTAAAACACATTTATAAATACACACAATCCACTCATGTATGTTCTCTATAATGACTAACAAATCGGTCCACTGTGTTGTAAAAACAAACAAACAAACCAAATATTGCTCGGCACAGAGGGAAAATATAAACTTTTCTCCCTTTTGTCCTTCTAGTTTTCTGCGCCTTCTACTTAACGGTACTTATGACTACATACGTCACAAGATCCTGTATGTGTTTCTTGACCATTTCCCGGAGGGTGGTCGGCAGGATGGCTGGATCGCCGATGACTACTTACGAACCTTCCTGACACGTAATGGTATGTCCAGGGTGATAGGAGGGAGAGTCGATGATGTCTTCATCATCAACGATGCAGATGAAATTCCAGCACGTGAGGGCCTCATTTTCCTCAAGTTGTTTGATGGCTGGACGGAACCTTTTGCCGTACACATGCGCAAGGTAGTAGCGACATCTTAGCAATAGTTGTACAGTCTTATTCTTTTGTGTACTGCTGTTAAATGAAACTTGGACAGTCAAGCAAGTTAGTAACTGTGTTTTGTTGTATTTTCTCTGTGTCCAGTCTCTATATGGATTTTTCTGGAAGCAGTTTGGGTCCCTTGAGGTGATCTCTGGCTGCACCCTGGGGATGCTCCACGATGTTTATGATAATGACGGCATCAAACTGCGACGTCGGGAATACTACACAATGCCCGGATTCCGAAAGTACGAGAACAACACTGGCCACATCTTGGTCCAGTGGTCGGTTGGCAGCCCCTTCCACTTTGCTGGATGGCACTGCTCCTGGTGCTTCACACCCGAAGGCATCTACTTCAAGCTAGTGTCGGCTCAGAATGGAGACTTCCCTCGGTGGGGGGATTACGAGGACAAACGCGACCTCAATTATATCCGGGACCTGATCCGGACAGGGGGCTGGTTTGATGGCTCCGTGCAGGAATACCCGCCCGTAGACCCTAAAGAGCATATGTACGCACCCAAGTACATGCTGGAGCACTACGACAGGTATCACTACCTCCTGGAGAACCCTTATAACAAAGTGCCCAGACCAAAGGATGTCTAGGAGATCAATACACTAAACATGTAGTGCCTGTTTGAGGCCTTGGCACTGAGCTTTGGAGGTGGAATGGTACTGATGAACAAAATGTACCTCCAACCAGCAACACTGATGTTGCAGGAATTTAAAACCTCTTAGAATAAAATGTGGGGTAGAAAGGGAACACTGAATCACGTCCTTTATGGATCTGCAGAGAAAGCATCAAAAAGGATACAACCACTGGATAAACAATGTCATGGATTTCCTCATTCCTTTTCTTTTATTTTTTTGGTGACAGCTTTTTCCCCTTTGCCAGTTTTCTTGGTGTCTTCATTTGCCACTTGACACACCTGTGCTCTGTGATAAACAGGCAGCTTATTAAAAAAAAAAAGCCAGGGATATTTTAACAGTGAGCGAAGCCTTTGAAAGCGAAGAGCGTTTTTGTTTCGGGTTGCTTTAACTGAAGTTTACAGACCAATTCGATATTCCTGCTTCACTCTCCATTCTCAGATGTCTTCCTGCCTCCATCAGTTTTGGGGATCTCTTTCCAGAACCAGACTCATATTCAGATATTATACTAAGCTTGGGTCTCAGAAATGGAGAGGTTTTCACTCATACAAAAATCACCTTCATTTTCATGCACCTTATGCTTTTCTGCGTGTTTGTGAACTGTGTGAGTGCTTTGTCTTTGTGTCGTGTGGTTTGTGGCTGTGAACAGGCAGTTAGGGGGCAAGATCGATGACAGAAAAGTAGGATCACGCGGTGATGGAGAGGGGAGGAAAAATAGCTTTTACATCCATGAGCGCCACAGCTTACAGACGGATCCGAATGAATCACGGCATTTCCCTCTCAGAGATGAATCATTAATGCTTTTGTTTTTGATCGATTGTTGCAATATGTCCTTTTATTTCTGTACTTAACATTTTGCCTTAGGTTAAAGTTGCAAACCCTTTCTCTAGTTTTCAGTAGCAGGCATCTGTTTACCTTGTCTTCATCATATTTCTCTCCCTCTGCCTTGGAAGAACGAGACAACCACTCTCATGGCAATGCCCCAAGATCACAAACATTTAACTGTTATGGCACGAGTGCTCATGCCTCTCGACCTTTCGCCCCTCTATAAACAGCTGTCACGGTGGCTGAAAGTCTAAATCCCCACCTGAAAAAATGGTTCAGGTGGAGATTTTGTGAGTAACGTTTGATATCGTGGATGTGCGTGATGTGATTTGAAGCCAGTGGGGTAACTCTTGGGTTTATTCCTGTCAAGGCAAAGAAATCCCAACAGGAATGTTTACAAGTAATGGACAAAGTTCAAGAAAAATTACAGACATTGGATTATTCTATAAAGAGCAGACTGAGGGTTATCACCAGCTATTTTAAGATTGATGCTTCTCAAAGGAAGAGAGGATAAAAAAATACTTCAAGGGGGTAATTAGGGGCTGCTGAGGGATGAAAACAAGGGTTGGAACTACAAAAGTTTGCTTTGTAGCTTTGATATAATTGGGGAACAAAGCTCTGGCACAGATCCCTTCAGCACACACACTCGTGGCGGTGAAAATGTGGTCAACCAGGAGGCATCTGAATGTTATGTTTGTTGTGTTCTGCTGCTGCGATGATGGTGCAGACTGCGACAGCAGCTGTTGGGGGTTTGGAGTTGCATTCGAGAGCTAAAACACCGTCTGAATTCAAGGAGGCTACAGAGAAAATAGCTGTGTATTGAATTCAAAAGGAAATCGTCAAGAATTCTCCACGTAATGCATTTCAGTTTTTAAATGAGGTTGTGCTGCTTGGTAACTAGTGAGCGTTGCAGGTTTTGGTGCTGAATCCTTTCAAGGCGACATTTTGCATGAAAGCCCTTCATTCATCAGGTTTTCTGAAGGTTTTATGGCAACCATCCAAGCTGACGAACATCCATTACTGAATTTTCTAGGAAAACACCAATTATGTGTCCTCTGGTTAGTTTTATATGAATCGTCAACACAAGACAGTCTAAACTAATGCACACCACACATAAAACATGCCTCCCTCCCTTCCCTCTGAGCTTGTGGTTTCAGACAGCAGGCGTGTCATATTCTCTGTCCAACTCTGTGGTGACTTCATCCCAACATCTGCACAATGAACTTTACAAAATAAGGAAAAAAATATGCATTTCATCTAAATGCCTTCTCATATTTGTGTTTACATCCTGCCAGGGAGAATTTATTTCACGTTGACACCTCATTTTGAACCTGTTGCAGGCTGCACATGTGCTAACAGAACCCACGTTTGGGTTGCTGAATGCGCCACAGCGGCTCACGGCGAGGCGAGGCTGGTGCTGAAACACGAACTAGAATTTCTCGACTTGGCCCGTTGATTCATTATCACCATGGTAACAATCCCCATGATGAGTTCTTGAGATCCCTTACTGCCTTAGGTCATTCGCCAAGATTGCAGGCCAGCAGTTTAAGAGGTGAGAGAGTGCAGTGGATAAACCAGTCAAAGAAGTCAAGAACCACTTTCCCACTTAATTCCACGCATAATTTACCACGAGTATAAAACTGGTAAATGTTGCAGTTTGCAGAGATGAATAGAGCAAAAAGAAAAGAAAAAGTTTCAGCAAGTGAAACGTGATTTTCTTGGGCCTTCTGTGCTGCCTCGGTGGTCTAGTGATTTTTAAACAGGCTGATTTCCAAATTGAGGGTCTGTCCTGCTCAAGAGCAGATCGTGGGCACTCAGCAAAGCTAAAGGCACAGAGACGTATGTTAGTGGACAGTCTAATCGCAGCTCCCAGCCAACTGTTGTCATATTTGTCATAACCAGACCAAAAATCATTTTCATAATAAGCGAGGCTCAGTTTAAATTAGAGTTTGTCTCAAAGGCTTGCAGGCTTTAGACAACTGTTAATCAGCACTTTCACCACAACTTTCCTTCCTCGTGTCGACACCACACACTTCCTCTGTGACTCATGTCGCCCGAGTTTTAAAACGCACTCCTGAAGTGTAGTTCACTGAAAACCCATTTTTTAAGATTATTCTGATTATAATCAGTCACTGAGTTTTTCATGTAGGCTGGACATGAAAATAGTCTCCTACACCTATCTCCTGCATTAGCTTCTGATGGAAAATAGACGGTGAAACTCTAGGATTTGAAATCCAGACAGATCTACGTCACACTGTTGCTTAACATTCATGGACTCACCCATCTTGACTCACCACGGGGAAGGCTGCCGTTGGTTTAGCATCCAGAAACATCCTGACCAGTTTAGGCTGACCATTAGCATTAGCAACTCCACCACACAGCAGAACTCCTCCAGGCTTGTGTTACCTGTGGAGGTAAAACATCATCATTGAAAGTCAGTGGTAGAGCCATGTTGCTGTTATCCAGTCCGGGGCGAGACGTCTAAATATCAGGAAATATAACTCCAAAACCCTGTAGCTCAGCTGTGTAACTGTTAGGTCCCAGAAATGGTGCACTGGTATTACCCCCCCCCCCCCCCCCCCCCCCCCCCAAAAAAAAGAGACAACTTCTGCAGACAGGTTTGGAGTTGCGTTGCTAGGAAACACTTTTGTTTGAGCTTTAATTGCTTTGATACCAAGCAAACAGGAAGTTACCATTCTAAGGTCTAAATTTAGTCGAAGTGCTTTCCACACAGATGCTTGATTCTCTAAAGTATCATTAAACTTTGGACCTGAGCAGAGTCCATTCATTTTAATAAATACTTTCCTAATTAATTGCAAAATGCTTCATATTTCAACTTAAGAAAATACAAAAGCTGTTTTTAATTGGACCGGCCTTTCATCCTCTCCTCATTTTTATTTATTACTATTGTTTCAGCTCTCAGCACGTATGTTTATTATTTACAGATGTACTACATGACTGTGCTGCTCCCCCCTGCCTGTTACACCCCCATCTGTTATTGTGCTCACAGAGCGGGTCCATGTATTGAGCTCACATGCCTTCATGGCTATGGACCCCTGCCAGCATTGTGGCTTCCACCAATTGATGTTTTCCAAGAAACATTGGCAGCCAACAGCATGCCTGAAATCCTATTTAAAAGGGCGTGGTGGCTTCCTGTTCGCTGGAATATAAATGATTATTTTGCGTCTAATGGTTCTTAAGATTTCTCTGGAAAGCGTGAAGGCACTAATAAAAAAAAGTAAGGCTAATAAACTTGAAGTCACATTTAAACATTGCATTGCTTAAAATATAAACCAGTTCTGGTCTTGAATTGTTTTTATAGACACTTAAAAGAAAGTTAGGGGTAAAAAAAAAGGTTAAGGTGGGTGAATCTATAAAAGCATTTGGCCAAAGTGTGTTTGCTGTCATACACCAGCTCCACTCTCTTATTTTAGTAGCAGTTCATGCGACGTTCATTTATGAATGTTTTTACCAGCATCAGTTTGGTAATTTTTCCAGTGGTGTAAAAGGTGTACACCACTGAAAAAACATTCAGATTGTTATTTCTGATTATAATCCGTCGCTTTGTCGTGAAAATGTCACTTAGAATGTATGGACTCAAACGTCTTGACTCGCGACGGGGAGGCTGTTGTTATAATCTACAGGAAACAGCAGAGCATGTCTCGACTAGCGGAAGCTAACTGTTAGCATTAGTAACTCCACCACACAGCAGAGCACCTCAAGGCTTGTGTTACTTGTGGAGATAAAGCATTAACGCCGCAAAGCAAACTGAGTCAGAGGTAGAGTGGCATTGCTGTTAGCAAATCAGAGGGAAGATGTCCAAATATCAGGAAATAAGACTCCAAATCCTGCCGTCTGAAGCTGCTTTCTCCTCCAGCTGACTTCACCACGCTAATAAAGGCACTTCTGGGCTTTTTCCCTCAGAGTACGACTGGCAAGGCGTTCCTTCCTACTTAGAGACCACTTCAAATGTATCGATTAAATGAGTGTTCAACACAAATATCACTAGAAGCATCTAAATGTGGCACGTGCAAGTCCTACAGGATTTTATTATGGCGTAATGCTAATTTGAGCTTGAAATAGATTTCTTTCACATCAAATGAACTGCTATGGATTTTTTAAGATGGGAGGTTTTTCAACAGCAGTGATGCACTAGCTTAGCCTTAGCTAACCATTAGCTTATCAATCCTGTTGAATATAAATCTATTTTTTAAGATAAAGGGTATTCTGGATATATAATGGGTAAGTAGTCAGAAACACTTCAAAAATAATCCCTCTCAGGCTTTGATTTGGTAAAATGCCCCAAGAAATTCATCTTCTTGCTGCTATTGTAGGAAACTAGAGTAGAATATCATAATATGGAGCTTAAAACTTTTAAAGATTTGGTGTAATTTGACTTTTCATTGGAAATACGCTCAAGCTGAGGTTTTTTTTTTGATGATTTTTTTCCTCACTGGTCAGTGCAGACTTTTCAAATCCTTCACTAATCAAAATCCAAACTACTCCTATGGCTTGATGCCATTAGAGGGAGAAAAAAAACAATTTTAAATGTTAAGAACCCTTAAAGAATAATCTAAAAGTGTGGTTTTGACAGAAGTAAAACCTCAGTTCATGGCTTTGTTAATGAGTAAATGAATTGGCCTCTGTCAGGTTCTGTTCAGCAAACCAGCCAGCTGGCGTTAAAGGCTCATAAAAACTAATTTGCTCCCTCAGTAAAAGCTGCGTCACGTCAGACAAGAAACCCTCTAAATCAAGCTGTTTGGACGAAGCTGCGCTGAATATGAAACGGTGATCATCGATCGCCAAGCTCCATCTCCGTAAACACTTCCGGTCTCACCATCTGAGGGTGTCTGCGATGTGCAGTTTGTGTTTGTTGGTCATAAAACTTCCAAGTGTGTTCCAGGACAGATTGGTAGCTTTTTGGGAGGGTGGCGATTAAACAGATCCTCGACCAGGAGCCCGTATGTTCTGACACAGCAGATGAAAGTCAAGAGTGAGACACCGGAGACAGATGGGCGCGGTGACACATACGCGCTTCAAAAGGTGGGCAGGCAGACGGGCCGACACCTGGCTGCAAATCAGATGCCACTAGAAACCAGGAGGTGAGCGCGGAGTGCATGTTTGTGTTTGAAAATACCCGCAACGGCTCGAGTTCACAGACGCTCCTGTTTCAGTTGAGCGTGTTTTATTTACTTTTCGAGTCGAGGCTTTATTATTTTAGCCGTGAAATGTCCTAAAAAGGTCTCTACAAATATAGAAGTCAACGGTAAAACACACTTTGAGACTTAATTAGGTCATTACTGTTTGACCCAACTTAAAGAGCAAGTCACCCCCCAATAAACTTTTTTTTTGCTGATAAACTAAATAAATGAGTGTCTAATCGTGCTGCAGACACGTGTCGTCAATAATTTGGCACTTCAGTGCATCTTAGTTAAAATTTAAATATTCTGCCTAAAACTGGCAGTGTTGTGCCGTTGTCAGCTAAAAACTCTGCACTGTATTTTAATTTAAATCTGCCACCGCTATTGGCTAAGAGGTAAGCTATGATGTAAACTGGTACATTATGATGTCACAATGCTGTCGTGAGCCTGTGTGTATTTGTTAGTGGCTCCGCCTTCTTGGTCTGCCAGGCAACAGCATGTGTTGCATTTTTCAAACATGAAGTGGGAGTGGAGTTAGACTCTGGTAGGGGTTGACTTGCTCTTTAAAAAACTGTTGTTATCCTATATGTCCTGTGACTCCTGTCTATGTAAGAGGACAAAAAAACAAAGATCGATCAACAAATTTGTTTCTGCACCCAGATCCTGGCTAGTCAACTCCATCTGATTGTTTTAGTTATTTATTCCTGCTCGTCAGGTTTTATCATTTGTAGACAAAAAAGTTTGTTTCAGTCTTGGAAAGAAGCGTGACGGAAGGGCAGCCGTCACTGCCATATGTCAGATCTCTACCTTCCTTTTGTATTACAGCTACAAACTAAACATCCATGATCGAATGAGAAGACATTTGAATTTTTGTTTACGGCTAAGAGTTTCCCCGTAACCCGAGCCGCCCTGCAGTTCTCAGAAACCGGTCTCTCCTGCGGCAGCCGGACCTGAACGGAGACTCCGAGGCAGCACGAGGGAAGGGTGGCGGGGGTCAGAGGAGGGTTGGGAGCCTCCAGAGGGGTTTGGATTCCTACAATCAGAAACAGAAACACAAGCAGCCATGGAAAGAGTTATGGAGGGAGGGAATGTTCCTTACAATAACAGACTTGTTTAGTCTTTTTTTCCTCGTTTTGTTTCGGTTTGCACTTTTCCTTTATGGTGGATTTCTGGTGGACATTTGGGAAACAGAAGAAGGGATGGGTGTTTGGTTTTGTACTTTATTTTTATCCAGTTGGCAGCTTTTTTTAAACAATGTCTTGTTGAGGCAGTGTGTGTGTGTGTGCATGCGTGTGTGTATGTAAATTAACGTTTGTAAGCACTGTTACCGCCTACTGCCGGAGTCGACTTCGCTCCCTCTCAGATCTCGTACCTCCCTTGATGTTGCAGCGGGGAGTCAGTAACGCGGCGTTCTTCTGATGTCCTACGTTTTCATTTGATGACATCATTCTGTCCACATTACAGTAACAGCATACAGCTTAATTTAGTGATACCTTATTTTATTTGTTGTAAAAGAAATGGCAAATACAGGTTATTGCAGCAGGCACACTACACACAAACCTCGTGTCTGTGTGTGTGTGTTGTCTGACTACCAGACTACTGTAGGCACTCGGTCTGTGCCCTCACTCTGATGTGATATTTACAAAGGTTTGCCTTTGAGTGACCCAAAAACGTTGAACTTTTTGGGTCAAAGCTTGACCTAGATAAAAGAAAATGCTGTCGTTCATCTTTACATGGTTATATATCCTCTTCTGTATTCCCCTGAAATGGATAAACAACGTTTTCCTTTTTCTGTGCATGCCAAGAAACAGCTCAACTGCCTGCAGATTTATGAATTGCACCTTATCTTTTTTTTTTTATGCATACATGATTTTATAAAAGATACGTATGGATGATGTGTGCTGCAGTAGCTTGTCAGACAAGTACAGGGTTATAATTTATAAACTTTCATTAAGTCACTGATGTTTTATGTTGCTCAGCATCACAAAGCAGCACCAAAAATTATTTAGACTCAGTGTCTGATGAGTGTGCCCAGAACTTAATTATGAGGCTGCTTATGAATGCAGTACTTGGATTTTGATTAAAGATGACTTAAGTACACTGTAAGAAATAAAATGTTGAATTTACTAAACAAAGTTATGCCAACTGGTTCCACTGCTTAAATATAAACAGTAACTTACGTTGTTATATGTTGTTGTGTTAAGTAAATGTATATTACGCTTTACATTTAAGCAACTAGGTTTCGTGGAACCATTTAACATAACTTGGATAGATAATTTCATCCTTTTATTTTTTACAGTGTATGCCATTTAAAATACATATATGGCAGGGGTGTCCAAAGTTTTTAGGATAAAAAAATACAAAAATTATTTTATGCTTATTGGTTTATTATTCCACTCAAAAGCAGGCCTCATGGTAGCAAAAATCTGAACA